TAAATAAATAAATAAATAAGTAAGTAAGTAAGTAAGTAAGTAAGTAAGTAAGTGAGTGAACAATGGGGCCAGCAGCTGGCATGCTGGTTAAGGGCTGGATTCCTACATGGTCAAAATAAAAGTACACAAATGAATAAATAAAGTTAAATAAAGTAATAATTATATAAAACAACTTTTTATTTATTTTAAATTAAAATGAAAATTTTATTATTAATATTTCTGCAGTAGGACATGTGCATTCATCAGAAAGAGAGAGAGAGAGAAAGTGACAAAGTAAGCTTCCAGGTCCAGGATTCAAACTGGTCGGCCATGAGGGAATCTAGCAACCCAACCACCACACCACCTGCTGGCCCCTCATTTTTTTTTTAAGAGAGATTTTTGCTATAGGGCATATGTGCTTACCAGAGAGACAGAGAGACAGAAATCAAGAAGTCATCCTCACCCTAGGGGTGATGGCCATACTGCAATTCTTTCTCCTCCATTCTCCTTTTAGGATTTTGGGCATGCACACACACGTGCCTGGTGTGTTTCAAACCTCCAGATCTGTGACTCAAACCAGAGTCTGTCACGTGGGAGTCCAATAACATAACCATTACAACATCTGCTTGTCCTGCTGTTCACTTATTTTAATCCTTAACAACAACCACAATTACAAGATGGTTACTGTAATTATCCCCAGTTTACATAAAGATGAAGAAATAATGCATATTAAGTATATAAGCATATATACCATTTAACATAGTGTGTATACGATTATATAGAAATATACAGTGATGTATAGTATTTACTGGTACACAAATTACACAGTATTACATATAATAAATATAGGGACCAGCAGGTGTCATGGCGATTAAGGTGCTGGATGCTCCCACATGGCCAACTGCAATTCGAGTCCCGAAGAAAACAACCTGGAGGCTTGTTTTCTCACTTTCCCTCTCTCTCTGTGTGTCTCTCTCTGGTTAAATTAAAATAAATGAATGAGTAAACAAAATTCAAATAGATAATTCTTTAAAAAATATAAATATAAATATGTCATATATGAATATAAAGAAATTGTGAAGGTAAAATAAAAATAAATGAATAAGAGCAAAGTAAAAATAACTAAGAGCAAGAGAACTATACAAAATAAAAACAAATGAAGGGAACCAGCAGTTAGCGTAATGGCTATGTTGCTGAATTCCCACATAGTTGACCGCAGTTCGCGTCCTGGACCCGGTGGCTTAGAACTCACGCAGGGCGCATGTCGTGTGTGCCCAAGATCCCGAGAGGAGAATGGAGGAGAAGGGATTGCGGCGTGACCACCCCCCCTGGGGGGTGATTTCTTGCTTTCTGTCTCTATGTCTCTCTCTGTCTGTCTGGCAAGCGCACGCGCCCTATAGTGAAAAAACCTCTCAAAAAAATAAATAAAAATAAAAACAAATGAATAAGAGCAAGAGAACTATGAAGAAGAAGAGGTGACTGGCTCTCCTGGTTTATTGGTTGAGGTTACTCCCTATTGACTATAGGACTGACTTTTATAAGACATTCTTTCTCGAGATGCTTCCAGGTTTGCAGTCTCCCTCAGGCTGATAAGACAATGATTTATTTAATTAATTCCCTTTGCTATTATTATTATTATTATTATTATTATTATTATTTAATTCAACCAGACAGAGAGAGAAAGGGAAAGTGAGGGAGCAAGCTTCCAGGTCCGGGACTCGAACCATGTCGTTCATGTGGGAATTCAGCATCTTTAACTACCATGCCACCTGCCAGCCTCTATTTATTATTTCTTAAAATTGTACTGTAGGGTACATGCACTTGCTGGGGAGAGATAGAGAGGGAGAGAGAGAGAGAGAAGAAAGAACTAACTCCCCCCTCAGGAGGATGGCCATGCTGTAATCCCTTCTCCATTCTCCTCTCAGGGTTTTGGGCATGCATGCACATGTGCCCGGTATGATTTTTGAGCTGGGTCTGGGACTGGAACTGCAAAACTGGCTATGCGGGATCCTGTATCCTAACCTCCATACCACCTATTGGTCCCTTGTTCTCTAATTTCTATCTGGACAGCCATCAGCCATCCCAGGCTGTCCCATACTGCATATCCTAGTACAGGCTAAGTCTTGTTCATTTGTTCCTGGCCTAATTGAAAAACATGTTTTTTTTTTTTTCTTTTTTGTTTTGTCACAGCCAGGCTTATCAGTCCATGGTGAGTATCCCCAGTAGCTAGCCTTCCAGTTACATAGGAAGACCCATTTAGAGTGGTTAGCAAGGTGCATTCTCCAAGGCATTCAGAGGTTGCTGATAACTGGAACTCAGGAACTCAGAACATACCCAGCAGGCAGACTTGTGTGCCTGAGGAATGGTGCCGGCCTATTGCCCCTAGGCTTAAGGATGATAATGCAGTGTTTTGGTGGCACAAGCAAAGGTGAGTCTCTATTATCAGGTAATATACAAGCAGCATTTCTATCCTGAGACAATAAAGTAACACTCTGGAGGAACTCCCTGGTTTAGTGTACCGTGCCTAATCAGGCCTAGGGGCCACTTAGATCCATGACATGGAAAGCAAGAAGACTTCCGAACTGCCACATGGTAATTATTTAAATTTTTTAAGAATTATTTTATTTAACTTTATTTATCCTTTTTTCTATTTATTTATTTATTTGACTAGAGAGGGACAGAGTGAGGGAGAGAGAAAGAAAAAGTGAGAAAGCAAGCTGCCAGGTCCAGGACTCGAACTGTGGTCGGCCATGGGA